TTTCAGAGCTTATAATAAATTTAAATTTTAATCATTTTTAACAAATGTGACGTGTCTTAATCTGAAAGGACACTAAAAATAAGTTTAAAGGGTTCGAACAGTAATAAAGAACACCCAACAAAATTTTTTATTTTTGATTTATTTGCATTTGCGTGACCTTACAACGCTGTTTCGAGTATTGTCAAGTACTCATCATCAGTGGTCTTAGGAAATAAAGGAATTTTTAATTAGTTTATAGTCCGTATATAAATTGTTTGGACTGCAAGTGCCAGGCTTAGAACTCGTGCCTGTCAAATTAAAAGCGATGAGTAATCATATTTATCCACAAGCAGTCACGGCTGCAGAAAGTGTCAATGCTCAAGTTCCAGGTTTTTTGTCAAAATTATTTATTATTTATTATTTAATTAGTTTATAGTCCGTATATAATTTGTTCTATAATTTATTTATCTAAAATTAAATTTCATTTTCTGTCAGTTGCGCTTATATGTATATGAATTCTTCAATATCTTGCTATTATTCCTTGTTGAGCGTTCATATATAAACTATAATAAATCCATATAACAAAAACTTATATGTTTTCATACAATTTCTGTATGAAGTCGTAAACTGTTTTCTAAGTGTCAACCAAACTTAGCTATAGTAAACTAATATATCTTTGGTTAAGTATACCATGTATCTTATGTACAATCTTATACATTATCAACTGAAAATTTCTATAAGTAAACTTAAATATCTTTAGTTAAGTATATTATGTATAGTACGCTTCAACTTATTTATTATTAAGGTGACAATCGCGCATATCTAAAAATGAAACAATCTTCACTTAAGTATATTTACTTAAGTATGTTATAAATCTTATGTGTCATCTAATACATTATGAAAACATCAACTTAAAATATCGTTAAGTAAATTATACATCTTTAGTTCAGTATATTGTGTACTTAAATTATTAGAATAATAGATCCAAATATCTAAAAATGAACTAATTTATCTATACTTAATGATGTTATCTATCTTATCCATCCTCTTATACATTGTGAAAGTATCAACTCAAAATATCCATAAGTTAACTTATATATCATATTTCAAGTATATTATACTTAATTTAAAGTAAGAATCTTATATATGTTATCTACAAATAAACTAATATATCTTTACTTAAGTATCTTATGAGAAAACTAAATGTAATATCATGCTTTATATTTTGTTTCTCTTAAAAACCGTTTGAGTCGTCTATTTTGGAGACAATCTATTTTTGAATTAACTAGTATTTCATGTTTAAAACATTTTAAATTAAAATTTTTTGGTGTTTTTATTGCACATAAAATCTTAAGTATTTCCTTTGAAGTCTCTTACTGCTATTTTTAAGGAATTCTAAAATATTTATTACTCTCAGAAAATTGCATTTTCTACAACATTGGATGCATAACAATAAAAATTTTATTGGTGGTACAACGAAATTTAATACCTCTTTACCCCAAATGTGCTGCCATCACATTTCACCGTAACAGCCGCCAAATCACTCAGGCTGAATCTAGAAATCTCGAAATCTCGAAATCTCGACTGACAAAAAAAGAAATAAATAGAATATTAACAAACCGAAATGGACACGTTTTTTGTTGCTTGAATGCGCGCTGTTATGCCTAATTAGGAAAGGACACGCTGGAATGTGAAATTATCTAAAATTAAATGACCAAAACTGAATTGGAGTTTCAGGAGCAACGAACAACCAACAACCAACAACGACCGCCAAACAAGAATAATGTTCAACCTGCCTACACATAAATATAAAAGTTACTACCAAATCAACACCGACTTTATTATTTTCACTTTAATTTAAGACATCATCAAACAAAACAAAAACAGGGACAACAAAAACAGGGACAACAAAAACAGGGACAACAAAAACAGGGACAACAAAACAGGACACCAGCACGAATTGCCGTCATTTATGGCAATAAAGGCGAAAAGGTGGCACGTCAAAATTGACACCATTTATGTCTGCTGCTTTTTATATAAGTACGAGTATCTCAGCTCAGCTCAGCTGAGATACTTGCACTTTTTTATTTTATATATTTTTTTTGTTTTTGTACTCTTAATGTGTAGGTTGACAAGTTCAACACGTGCTAAAGGACATACGAAAATTTTCTTATCACAAAAACAACTTCAACTTCAAAAAATACATAAAAAAATTAAGAAAAGTTAGCTTGGACACATCAAATAAAATACATAAAAAAAATTACTTATTTATATACACACACATATATATATATATATATACATGATTGTACAAATGTACATGTGCCTAAACATAAATCAAATATATATTTGGATGGACAATGCAGCCAGTAAAGCGTAAAGCTATTTATTCTTTTTTTATTGTTGCTGATAATGAAGCGTTAAAAATATTAGCCGAGGTTTTTGCTCTCAAATATCTGCAGGAGCAAAAAAGGAAGACAAATACGCCTATCATTTTTATGTCAGCGTTAAGTGGACTAAAATAAATATTATTTGCTTGAAATAATTTTCTTTTATGCTTCTTGACAAATTACATTAACAGCTGAAGAAAAAAAATTATAAAAAATTATTTCTAAAAAGCAGAAAAATTTTATAAATTATCAGTAAGAAATTATTATCGCACTGATAAAAAAAAATATTACATTTAAATAAAAATAACCTCTACAATATATAATTTATATCAAAGCCATTAACAATTTTAAATGGATTGTAAGATTCTTCTACGAAAATAAAGCATTAATTCTATCTTCCTCAACTCCCTTGGTGTCAGTGTCATAGACTCTGAAAAACCTCAATATGACGCTATGGCTTCTTTTTTTAAGCTTCCTCTTTATAGTTAATGATGTCTGTAAGTTACTGTACTTTCCATAAATTCATCTTCTGCTAACCGTATATAACAGATTTAATTACTGGAGAACCCTTAACTTATCGCACGATAGCATAATTTGATAGTTTTAGTTCTTTCTTGCAAGTTGATGAGATTAAATCACTGTAAGTCATTATACCTTCAATGTATTTATCTTCTGCATTATTATCCTGCATAATAAATTTAAGTTGTTAATAGCACGTTCTTAGTTCTTAGTTAGTTATTTACTATCTACAAAATTATTGTGCATATAAGGTTTAGGTTCTTGAAAGGTCTACACATGTGGAAGCATAACTTCTAATTTAAATAACTTTTTAGCTCTTTTCTTTCAGTTGTTGACTTTAATTCCTCGTAAGCTATTGTATTCTTCGTCCATATATTTATCATCTGCATGATTATCCCACATCTGCATGATTATATCCGTGATAAGATTAAATTTTATCGCTTAATGAGTTCTTATTCTTGCCACGTTCAAGTTGAGAACATCCATTCTCTGTGATCCTATTTCGTGCAATCTTTTAAAACGCGTTCATTTTAAACTCTACAGCTTGATATGGTTGCAATGACGGGCAGTATACCAAACCCCACTTAAACTCGAGTAATTACCCATTGTTATGTCTTTTTGATATATTTCATTATTATTCATTCTTTCGTTTCTTTTGTTTTTTGTGCAGTATCAAAATCTTTCTCAAATTTGTCCTTTCAAAAATCTATTCTCTATATGCTTGCCAGATTATATTTCTCTTCCTTAATTATTTTGTTTGATTATGTTCTATAATTTATGGCATTAAATCACATCAAAGCTTCATCCGTATATGTGGGAAGTCCGTGTATGCATCAAACACGTATGTAACAGTTTCCTTTGCTCCAGGCGATTTACATTCCATCTTTGCTACACCCATCTTATGGACAATATAAGATTGAGAAATAGTTTTTATAGAGTTTTCACTTTTTTCTATTTCTCGCTATATATATCAATTCGTTCATTTATTTTTTCGTTTTACGTTCTATTGTTCTACGAAAGGTATTGATTGCTTGGGTGTCGTTGTGTTCTTCTGCTTTGTGGGTTCCAGCAGAGCACGGCGTGTGCTGCATCGTTTGTGTCTTTGCGTAATATATGATCCAACCATCTATATTTTGGTAACCGTATTCGCTGATCTATTGACTGAGATGGTTCTAAGAAAAATCACACCATAGGGTTTCGTTTGATACTATTCATGTCCATCATATCCACAATATAGACGTAAGACATATATTGACAAAACATTGCAGTTTTTGAGTTAAGGTTCTTGTTAAGTGACATATGTTGTTATAACATAGATATAACGTAGATATAACGTAGACATAACATATAAATTACGATATCGGGGACTTATTTTGAAAGTCTATTATTTTATACTATATTAGTTCTATAAAGTATTGCTGAGAACTTATTTCCTGTTTGATATACTAGTCTAACCGCTCTCCCTTACATAAAAAGTTTTGATTTTTCTATATATAACATTCGCAAAAATTAAAACTCATAACTATTTTAGTGTATGATATAAACTTGCCCAATTGATCAAAAGCCATTCGATGTTCTTATTTAAGTAAAAACTTTGCGAGTTTCATGTACTTATAATATACTATTCAAATATCGCTCTTCTCAATATACGCACTACGTTGTTCTGGTGTGTCTGTTATTGGTAACTGAATTATGACAATTATAGATTGTTAATCGTTATATTTCTTCAAGTAGTTTATTTTTTATGAGTTTTAATTGAAGCTATCTATTATTATAAAAAATAATTTTGAAATATTACTCCCTAAAACCTCTCCAAATATAAAACAGTTTTACTATATAGGCTTACTCGCCCTACATCGTAAAAGAGTGGTCTAATTTATTTTATATAAAAAAAGAAATATACCAAATTTTATTCATAAGCGTTTATATTTTTATATCATAGTATTTTTCTACTATATAAAATGTTGTTAAGTAAATCACAATATAACACATATATTAATGAGCAAATTTCAGTTACTAAACCGTTTAGCTAAAAAATATAGCATCTTCATAAAATTATCTATTAATATTATTTACTGAAATATTTAATTTTGTATTTGTTTCTCTTTAACTATTAACAGATTTCCGATGATGATCGAATGAGCTTAACTACAGCCGTTTCTGATGAAGATGATGGCGAAAGTGTCATGGCGTCACCATATAAAGCAAAAGCAACTGGTACAGCTGCGTCCTCATTTAATTGCACTGGCGCTGTTCGTAAAGCTGGGTATGTTTAATCAATAATCGATAATAATAACAATAATAATAGGTAATAATAGAAAGCAGATACAAGCATCCGCACATTCATATCAAAAATTACTGCACATGGCTTCCTGCCTGGCCTACAAGAAATATATCTCACTTTCTTCTACCTTTGATTATATCACCTTACCTTATGTTAGCAGCTTCAAATCCGTAATGGTGTAAAATAAAAAATAATGTAGCCATTTTTATTTACTTTTGTATTATTTTTTATCATTTTTTCCACTTTTCTATTTTCAACTGTTGGCAAAATGTTCACATTGCCACATTTTATAACTTAAAATCATTGCCACCTTATCAACTCACTACCTTACCAGCATATAACATATATATGGTAAGCATGGTATTCCAGCCATAGTGTTGAGAGCTAATATCGCTGTGGGGTGGTGAGTGTTGCGAAGCGGGTGTTGTCAATCACACACGCTTCAAATTCAATTGTCAAATAGATTTGACTTCGATTGTATTTCGAAATTCAATTTCTTTTTATCATCACATTTAAGTATGTGAACATTATTATATTGTATTTCAAGCCTCCTGTGAATAAGTTTTTATTAATTTGATTTGAACGTTTTTAATCCGATTTTATGAATTCTTTTTTTTTTACATTTGTTTTTATATATACTATAAACTGCTTAGAATGAATTAATAGAAAAAGCTTCCTTATATTCTATCATACGATGATTAGCGCTTTCAACACCTAATCATTAACAGTGTTGTAATGCATGCTTTTAAAATAAGAACATGAAAGAAGGTATAACCCTTGTACATAGAGAATAAATATACCTATATAAATAGAATACTATACATATAGAATAAACACTTATGTTTTGAAATCTATTGCCTTCAATATTGTTTACGACTTACTTAACATTGTTTAGCGCTTTCAACACCTAATGATTAACAGTGCTGTAAAGCATGCTTTAAAAATAATAACATGAGAGAAGGTAAAACCCTAGTACATATAGAAAATAAATATGCCTATATAAATAGAGTACTCTACATATAGAATAAGCACATATATATTGAAATCTATTGCCTTCAATATTGTTTACGACTGACTTAACATTGATTAGCGCTTTCAACACCCAATCATTAACAGTGTTGTAAAACATGCTTTTAAAATAATAACATGATAGAAGGTATACCCTTATACATATAGAATGTATATACCTCTATAAATAGAATACTGTGCATATAGAATAAATACATACGTATTGAAATCTACTACCTTCAATATTTTTTCTGGCAAAAAATAGATATTCTGATATCAACAATTATAAGTGGAATTAAAATTCGATTCCCAAGCAAATGAACCAATTCAAATATACAAAATTTATTTCATCTCAACCTCTCATCCAACTCTCTGCAGTTAACGAGTTTGCAGTGCATTCAAATATTTCATTTGATTTACTTGGAATATTCGATTTTAAGAATTTTTTCCAATATACCATATATATATCTATCGTACTGCAGCTAACAGTAAGTGCAGCCACAGTACGTTCCCATAACACATTTTCATTTTCACATTTCCGCAACTACTAATTTATAGTTCATCATATGATAACCTTTTGTATGAGAAATGCGGAGTTCTTTCAATTTCTGCAAAAAATTCATATTTTTGAAAAAATATTTTTTTTATATTTGATTTTCTCTTCAACAGTTTCCTTTCGGTGAAAAAATGGTTGCTTCGCAAAAAGCATCAAATCGAATTGGCACGCAAACGTGGCTGGAAGGGTTACTGGGTCTGCTTGAAAGGCACCACACTACTATTTTATCCATGCGATTCGCGCGAAGGACGTAGCGTCGAAGCAGCACCGAAACATTTAATTATTGTTGATGGTGCGATTATGCAACCAATTCCGGAACATCCAAAACGCGATTATATATTCTGTTTGAGTACTGCATTCGGAGATGCGTATTTGTTCCAAGCGCCCTGTCAGGTGAGTACACTACAGAGTAACACACAATACACACAATACACACACACAAGAAAAAATTCCATTCTCATAGCACCTAAAATAAAACTACGGATAATACAATGTAAAAGAAAAAAATCTCTAACCAAAAGCAGATGTACGACCAACCAACCAACCAACCAGATATGGAACTCCAAATGGGAGTATATGGTAGTATATGGTAGTTTGGTATAGAGTTTCATTGGTATTCAGATTCACGAACATAAATGTCAACGTATGAATGACGACGTGACACTTGTACGTAAAAATAGTAGCGCTGCCAATGCGAATCCATAGAATCTATAGAATTCACAAAATTTCAACTTTTCTCTGAAAATTTTTATTGTTGCGATAAAAGCTGAAAACTCAAAATTCAAATCAAAATCAACACAAAAAAAATATGGAAAAAATATTAAAAAAAAATAAGAAAAAATTATATCGCATAAAACAACATCGAATCAAATTCCACTGAAACTGAGAAATAGTTTAACAAAATGTTGAAATCTTCGGTTTTATGTAGGTGGATTCGGTTTGGTTTGTCATGGATCAATTGCTAACACTGCTACGACTACTGCTGATGGTGGTACTGGTATTGGTGCCGGTGCTGGTTTGGATTCTGGTTACTGAAATCTAAAGCATACGTGAAGAATTTTTAATTTTTGAAATTGAACTTCTATTTGATTGCCGGCTCGATCGACCCACGAACTGGGTCGTGTGAACTCTTGATATTCTAGCAGTTATATTTTTATCTTTATGCATTTAAAATGGTTTTAAGTAGATTATCCGATATGTGGTAAGAAGAGCATATGCTGCTTTGCTGCATAGGAAAGCAAGGCAGTTAAGCGTGAAATTTCAATAAAAATTCATACAACTTTTTTTCTATCTTTCATCATCGATGTACTTTTCTCTTTTGCTATTTTTAGCAAATGTGAAGCCAATTTTGTGTTTATTTTCAGTTGTCTTTGATTAGTATCTTCAAACGTTCGAAATATCAGTAGTTCACAATCAAAATGTAAAAGGAAAAAGATTTAAGCACATTTACAATCTAATTTGATTGAAAATTGAAGCAAAGTAAAAGCACTTATTTTAAATGAAACGTCTGCTTTGGTACTTCAAGTAACGCCTAACGCCTATTTTCACGCCTTTTCAATTGTGTTCGATACTCACACGTTTAATGTACGTCACTTGAACTTTCTATTTTTATGCCACTGTGACATTTGCAAAACCTATTTATCTACATGGTAATCACATATTCATTGCTATCAGAAATAAAATAAATATGTGAACATATATAAATACAATATGATATACGAATACATAACTTTTGAAAGGAAATATCATATTACATTTACATATTTTACTATTGAAAAGGTTCCAGTACTTGTAAAGCAATTAAGATATCACCAACTTTTCAGTTAATTGAAACGACTAATATGTATCCTAATATATAGACTAGGCTTTTCAGTAGCAAAAATGACTAGTTTTTCAATTTTAGATCCCACAACACGACATTGCCCTCAGAGAAGTGAAAAAATCTGTTGTAACCAATAGTCCGAAATATGTAATAATGAGATTTTAACCCCAAAATCCTCCTTGCGTACGGTACAGGATATATTGGTATATCAGTTTAAAAATATTTGCAAAATCAACACTAGGAAGTTGTGCTATATTTCTATATGATATGGATAGACACATATTATAGTACAAACATACCATAAAATATTACAGTTGTACAAAAATCAGTTGCAAGTACTAAACTAGTAAATATTACTATTTTTCTTACCACCATTTGAACGGTTTTGCTCCACCGGTTCATTATTTAATCTAGAAAATAAATAATGCGTTACATGACTAGATTAAAAAATTAGATTCAATCGTTTGTAAAGTTAAACGCTTCCTTTGGCATGAAATATATATATAGTCCAAAAAGTGAAGATAGTTATAGTCCAGCAATACCTTAAAACTTTAAATTTATTTTCTAATGATAAATTTGTATATTCTTTAAAAAAGAATATCTCAAACTACTTGAAACACCCAGTATATATATGTATTATCGATTTCGTATGCTCTTACTATACTGGTCAATTACAAGACTAGTCAATACTGTCCAGATCTGATTGTAATTAATGACCAAGCCTCCCTAACTGCTAACAGCACAGCCTGCAAAACTGTTTCTTCATCACGAAGATGAAGATAGTAATTTATATCTGCTAAAAGCAAAAATTTATCTACACCTACCCCGCAGTGTATTTCTAATAATGTTATATTTAATATTTTACTTTATTTATTAATTGCTAACAAGAATTATATCTTATTTTTTGAAAAAAGATGCATCAATCTATTTTATAGAATAGTCGTTAGTGCTATTTTGTACATTTATTCTATATAGCGTTGGACTTTTATGTATAAGTAGTCTATGGTTCTACCGTTGTCGACGACTTCCATTTTTTAGCAGGGCACATAGTTTTTGTAGAGTCTTTGAATGAAATAATAACCTTAAGCAGTACAAATAGGAATAAACAGGGTACCAGCTCCCAACCATGGTTGATCTTTTATGCTGCAACAGATCCTTACCTAATGGATGACATTCCGCCTTCCGTATGAAAGCCAGAATGGCGAACGTTGAGTGAGTGACCTCCACCTCGCCCAGATTAAGGCTGGGCATAAATATATCATTAGCAACCTGCTTAAGCAGTAAGTAATACACGTACATCTGCAAGCTCCCTTCTTCCGACAGTCAGTGCAATGCGTTCTATTACACTCAAAACACTCAGAAAAATAATTTGGTTGATTTAATTAAATTGTAACTAAATTCAGATAAAAATATTCTTACTTGATGCATTATGTGGGTTTAACCATGCCACATGTTGGTTCTCCTTTCTTCTTTATCAAATGAGCTACAATTTTCTAACAAAATGATCAGTTGAATTTAACTAGTATGTGGTTAAAGCATATTTTTCTGAGTGTATGGTTTTAGTGATTTACAACTAAACTCAACTCAACACAGTTGATTCATAACATATTAGATGGTATATCAAATACTCACTTTCAAAACTTTTAACCTTATTTCTTCCATCATTTGAAATATGTATATATCAAATACTGTACTCTCACCACTATGCAGTTACAAGACATGTTTCAGAGAAAATGAACTTAGTTATAAATTAAAAAAAATTTTAAAAATATTCACAGCAGCGTATAATTTTTAAATTGATCAAATAAGCACACAAACCAGCAGTTGCCCGATGGTCGGGCATCCTTGAATGTATTTGCAATACGAAAGAGCCTTGAGGCGATTCAAGTCAATGTCCATGGTTTCTATTACCCAACGACATAATCTGCAGCAGTTTTAAAAATGCTATATATTTCAAAAAAATTTTTTATTCTTGTCTTTAGTATATAAAAAGCGAGCAAATAGAGAACTTTCGTAAAACACAAAAGTTCTAATAAAAAAATGACCAATTTAAACAAAAGATGTCCTTGTAAATATGCACTGAAAATTATGGCTGCACAAACTGAACGAAACGAAATGAAACGAAATCATGGGATACAATTTTAAATGAAATTCATGCCAACCGAGTGCCAACAGCTTCGGAATCAGCAAGGATACAAACGCATGCACACCAGCAGCTAGGTTCCAGCACCAGTCGGTCGAGGAAATAGGCAAACAGCCAAACGGCCAATGAATAGAAAATTGTTTGCATAATAATGCAAATGGGCTGCTGAATGAATACGAAGAAAAAAACAGATCCATAGAAGTTCATTGCTCGCGGCTAACTTCATCACAGAACGTATCCTTCTCATAAGGCTGAGGATAAAAAGTGCAACACATAAACGAAATGGCATTTGTGTGTGAGTGTCGTAATAAAACCGGAGCATGATACCTCGGACATCCATCGCCCATTGCAATTCACCATCGCCATCGCCATCGCCATGAATGCGAACTGCAATTACTGTTGACGTTGGCGTTGGTGTTAGCGTTGGTGTTGCTGCTTCTTTTGTTGTTGCTGTTGTTGTCGCCAGTGCTGCTATTCTGTTGGTGCAACTGCAATTGAAAAATGACCTTATTATGTGTTGCAAGCGCCTTAAGTGGCTATGCTTTGACACATACGCAGGCAATATCGCAGTTCCTTTTTCTTTTTGGGAATATAAAAGTACAAAAGCCTTTGTAGGTTGTCTCATGGCTGTTTTGAATTTATTATTAATGATATTTGTCACTTATGCATTTTGTGTCATTGTTTAACCTTAGCGAGTACGATTTAGTGCTTTTAGTAATGTGACTATATCTCATGCATATATCTCATTCGTGTGCCTGAGTATATATACCATATACATATGTACCATGTGTACCATGTATACCTAATGAATGACTTACCAGAACAGAACTAGGCTTACAGCAGCTACAGGCTTATCTGATACTTCATATTTCTACAGATTTTTCAATATTTTTTTTAAATTCTTTTCTGATTTCAGTACATATTGAATGGGTACTTCCATATCCTTTGTAGCCTTACAGCGCTTACATAAATTAACAGGATTTGCAAATGTTCAACCAATTTGTCTAGTTTAGATTGCTTGTTTTTCAATTAAAGTGCTGTAACGACACAAATTTACAAAGTAAATTTCTGTGCTACATAAAACAAGAAGCAGAGGAAAACACAGTCTGTGTGTTAAATAACCGCCACCACTACACATAATATATCTAACAACTCACATGAAAATCACTGAAGGCGACTTAACTGGAAAATATAAAATTGAATTAAAATATTTATTTGAAATATCATGGACATTACCTGGGATCCTCGATGCCAATGTGCCGCGGGCATCGCTACATGAAATGTGCAAATTCTAAAAATATACGAAAAACAAAATCAACGTTTGGTTAAAACTTTTATGAATGGAACACTTATAAACGCAACAACAATGAACAATTATCGGCGAAACATGTGTAAATTTTAAACAAATATCTATTTTTTACAATTATATATAAATAAAACAAAACACAAAACAATTTAACACTCGTGATTGTTCAATTTTAGTTTATCTGCGTAAACAAAAAAAACACAAAACAGTTTAACATTTTTGGTTGTACAATTTTATTTTTATAAACAAAACACAACAAAACAAAACTAAGCACGCCAACATCAATTTTATTTCTTTTAATATTTCTTTTCTGTTCACATTTAGATAATATTAAATTCACAGAATATATATGTATATTTAATACCTTGTTTTGTAGTATTAAAACACTTTACTTTTAATGTAATAATATTTAATATAATATAAACTAAAAAGGAATAACACACGAAATAAAGAAACACGGCGCGTAGTAAAAGTACTAAAAAAATCACGGCGAAGCAAAAGAAGTGAGAAAACAGTAGAACACAAAGTTCAACTTCACGGCGAAGTCAAGTATAGCAAAGAATACCGGTACGCTACACCAAAAAGCTCCGGTATGCTCGATATAAAAGGAGGTACATTTTATATAATCAGGGACTTGGTTTGCGACAAGTGAAAGAGCAAGTACTCTGGCTCATTGGGCCTTCTGGTAAATTTTACCAAACTTGAAATTTTACTTTTCCTGAAACAAGTACACTGGCCTATTGGTCATCTGGCACATTGTGCCA